AAGCCTCGTGACAAAATTCTGTGAGTTCAACAGCAGATGAAGTGTGGTGGTGGTGGTGGTGGTGTATAAGCTTGTTTGCAATCTGCAAGTTGAGACAGGATCATTACAGGGCTTCCTGCAAACTCGCATGAAAACGTGCTAATTGATAAGGTGCAAATTGTCGGCAAAAGGAAAAGAGAACTAGACAAATGCAAGAAGGGGAAAGATACCGTCCAGGGAGCTCTCATTTGTCCAGAATAAAATATCCTCATTTTGAAATTGATATAAGAAGAAAATGTAAATCCACTCCGAAGCTTAAATCATGCCAGCCAGTCTCGGGATTAGTTAGATTATCGTTTGCTAAAAAAATCAATCACAAGATATTGTTTTAAAATATGAATAAAAAGCAGGCACGCTTATTCGCGCGAGTACGGTACTCAATTTGTTTTATGTATGTATACACACATAACCGGCCTATTACTGTAATAAGAATGAGAAAGAAGAACTTCAAAACACACCTAGCTCGGGAAAGCTCATTTCTTTTGGGAAAAATTTTGACTCCCACCCGTTAGCTTTGAACCAAGATCCCCCTTGTGCATAATCCCATTCAACTTGCTAGTGGGACACCCCACTTAGTTTGAAAAACGTTCCACCGGCCCTGCAATCAACAAACGGCGTCGCAGTTGTGCTCACAAGGAGCGGAGTAATGTTCGTCGGCCGACGGTCGTACGACGCAGTGAGTGCCCGGGTTGAGATCCAGCGGACCACCATTGATGCACGATAGAGATTGCATCTTTAGATCTCCGATTCTTGTCACAAATTCACGGACTAGCATGCTGTCTGTAAGAATTTCGTAGGACGCGTTAAGAATGACAAAATATTCTGTGTACCTACTGGAACCGAGCCGCATAGCTTGTGTTCCACTATTTACACCTGGGCCGTGTATATATATATTACCTGGTTTGACTCTGGTCTCTTATACACATCTAGATGTGTATAAGAGACAGATTATAAACCTTGTTCGTTCTTTTTATGACAGGGATAAATCCACTATAAGTTGATAGTGTTACATCCATGTGAGATTGCATTTTAGTTTGCTGAGTGAAGACTTGCGGTGTCCGTAGGCACTAGCCTGTAAGTTGACTGTAGGAATATTGTTATGTTAAATAACCTTGGGTTATATTGTGGGTAATTGATAATTATACGATTCAAAACTTGTTAAAGCATGCAAATATCATCATGAATTTGCGGGAGATGGTTTATTTCGGGGAAAAATATGCTGGAGTTCTTCCTGTCAGTTTCTAGGAGACCCCATTGCGAGACTCTCGAGACTCTACGGGAGACATGGAACTCATATAGGTTCTGAATGTGGTCTTCAGATTTCTCTATTTAGATGTAAATTAAAAAAATAATACATTAAATGTTTTAAAATGGTTGTACAGAAACTGCATGCTCTTATTTATTCTTAATTAAACATTTCTTAGTAGCCAGACATCAACTTGTCTTTCCATTAAAATATTACTGACATTGCCACTAACATTATCGTCATTCAATAGAGAAAAAAAAAAACGCTACACAAAAACAGTGCATTGGCTAATATATCTACGTGTAAGTAATATATAACACAATTTATTGTATTGCCGTGTACATTTCAACTTTATTGACAATCCTTAATTTCAATATTTAAGATTGATTTTGAAATTGTTTAGAGGTATAATATAAAATAACAAATAACTATTATAACATTTTGGCAAAGGTATAATGGCCAAGCCGGCCCTGATTAGGCCTACTTCCAATCTAAAAAATTGGAACCTTTAAATTAAAAGTGAAGACATTAATTTTTCTAAAATTATGCATGTGCTATTTCCCGGCTGAAGAGCCATTTTTTCAACCATGGTGAAAAAAAATGTGTTGCACCCTACTACCACCCATGCCCACTCTTATTAAAATGGCCGGACCACTTGCAAAATGCTTCCGACGGCTATGATACATACATAAACAAAATTGAGTAGTTGCATACGATTTTTTTCCATGAATCCATAAATCCCAAAAAGAATGGGGGTCCGGAGGTTCTCCCCCGGGAAAATTTTGATTCCAGAAGATTCCAGAATTTGCATGTTCGGGTAATTCAATATGTGACAACCCCCTTAAAAGAAGAATATTATAATAAGAAACATTTTTAGCATAGCTGTCCTCCATTACGAAACACTACTGGCTGGGTCTTCTTTTTCTTTTAGGTTTGTGGCCATAAGTGGCGTATCTAAGGGTGCTGGGGGGGGGGGCGGTGGCGTACGCCCTCCAAAAATACTTGTGCCTCCCCCAGTCGCCCCTCCCCACCCCCGCCAGAAATAAATTTAAAAAAAATCATAAGTACATAAATTATTATTTTTTAAATAATAATAATAAATAATAGTAATAATATTATTAAATATTATAAATAATAAAATAATAATGAGAATAATAATAATAATAATAATAATAATAATAATAATAATAATAATAATAATAATAATAATAATAATAATAATAATAATAATAATAATAAATGAATAAAAAAAACTCAAAGTGTAGTCGGTAGGGGCAAGGGAGAAGGGGAAAATTGAAAAATTTCAACAAATAATTGACTTCAAACTGTAGTTATTTAATAAATTTGATTTAAGATAAGATAAGAGATAAGATAAACTTTATTGGTCTATTCACATATGAAAATACATAAACATAAATGTTCCTTGAATCTGGCATAAACAATAAGAAAATACGTCAACACCAAAACAATCATAATAAAATAAAACACCAAACATCAAATTACAAAATGCAATGAAATCTTTACGCTACTACTTATTACATAATTTAAATATTATATATAAAATATTAAATACTAATTGAAATTGTACGGGTAGTTATTGTTATAAAACATTTCATTTACAACAAATTGAGTTGAATTTCAATAACAAAAATACAGAAAATATCAAATTGCAGTTCAAAAATATATCATAAATATTAAATTTGCACATAATTACTTAATTACTCTTACAATTATATACATACATACGCACATAAATACAACAGGTACACATAATATTCAATTAAGTCAATAATCAATTACCATTATAAACTACAACAAATTATTATTATTTATTTTAATTTCAATGATGATAACTATATCATTTGACATTCAAGTTGTATATAATTAATTCCATCTGGGTATGGGCGAACATCTGAACCATTTATTGCTGGTTCGGGGCGGTCAAAAATCGGAGTCTATAATGGGCTAAGACAAGTACCTTGTGTACCGTAAATGCTCGAATAAGCGCCGCTCTCGAATAAGCGCCGCGCCAAATGTTTTTGGTTCGCCAAAGCGCCGTTCTCGAATAAGCGCCGCGCGGCGCTTATCATTCGGGTGTGAAAAGCGCCTGTATGCAATGAAACAACAGGGTAATACCAGGGAACAGTGAAAATACAATGTATACAGTGTTCAAATAAATAAATAACACAATGAAGACACAAGCATATCTTTATAAACGTTTATTTACGATGATGTAGGGTCTATAATAGCAGGGAACAGTTTTCACTGTTCCATGATAATAGGCCTACCGAACCAGCCGAACTACGGGAATACGTGAGATAGGTAACATGGTAAAAGCATGAAAAGCTCCACGCCAATATTATTTAATAAGCGCCGCTCTCGAATAATCGCCGCACTGAAGCCTCTAACTCGAGCATTTACGGTAAAGGGTGAGTACTATCAATAAAAATTGTATTGACAGTCTTCGACACGTGAATGGAGCCAGCAGCTTTAATAAAATATTATACGGTACTGATCGTTGTTCCAAATATGAGGACCTGAAACGGCAACACCGTGTCTGGTACACGTTAGTGTGCGAAATGGCGGCTTAAGATTAATATTGCCTCTAGTATTATAATTGTGATTATTACCATCAGTAATGTTTGATAAACGCGAGTCAGGATTGTTCATCATTCGGTACGTAAAAATACCAATTTGAAACTGTGAATGTCTTTGATTTTCAGTAAATTATATCTGTGGAAGAGGGGATCCTTTGGGGCACCATACTACGACCACGTTATGACACATATTGCCTTTTTCTGAATTTAAATAATCTTGCTAATATCATCTGGAAAAGTATTGAACCAGATTATGTTACAATAGCTGATAAAGGGATTCAACAAGTGATTTATAGATGGTAAGGAGTGAATATTAAAGGAAGATAGTGACGTATGCGTATAAAAAAATCGCCAATTTAGAACCTATTGAATCAACATGTGGCTTAAAAGATTATTAAAAGCAGGGCTATATAAGAATATACTAGTGTCATTTGCAAACACAATCATGTTTAAAATATTGGGACGAGTTAAATTTGAATGTAAATAATAAAAGAAGTGGTTCGAGTGTGAAGCCATGGGGAACTCCGTACTTGATTGTTTTAAGTTCAAAAGAAAAATCATTTATTAATTTAATTTATTGTATTACTGTCTTCCACAGATATAATTCTCAAACCAGGTAAGAGCTGATCCAGGTAAGTCAAGAATGAATAGTCCGACAATGACAAATAAAGAACGAAACGTAGATTCAATGGCCTCACGTCTGTCATTTTTCGTAGTTTACTCATATTTCATTTCATTTATTTTATTGTATTTTCCCTTTTTTACAATCTATTGTTGTTATATGTATTGAGGGTCCATAAGGTTTAGTTCCGACACTCTTCAAACTTATTGTTGAAATAAATAATAAAACATATAAATAAGTTTAGTAACCATATACAGTTTATGCAATTACAATTACTGTGTAGTACAGGAATGCATCCCTGATGATGACATAATTAATGTCGAAATATTGAATCCCAACACGATGGCGTGTATTTCAATACTTGGAGTATGTATTATACTTTCTTATCTGAGATTAATCAGTGGACCTTTCGGTTTTTGGAAAACCCTACAGTGTAATGTACTGCATTTCAGATACGTGCATACAGTATGCTAGTGAGGGCGCTCTATCTCATTTAAATAAAGTCCTGATTGCTAGGAGTAAACGGCGGTATTGGGTGTGACCATCCCAGATATTGAGTGAAATAAAGACAGAATTACTTTGCTATTGTGATAAAAGCTGAAGAAAATATCACAGTTTTTCAGAAGCTTATATGTCAACTGACAATAAATTGGGTAAGAACTATGGTTATATTTTTTTATCAATGACGAAATCTTATTAAATTTTCCTCGCTACCCGCAGACAAACAGAACGGATGATGCCTAGCATGTGTGGAATGGCCATCATTATGTGTTCTAATTTCCTAATCTGGTCGCGGAAATAATCTACTTTCATTTCAGCCATTTCCACGTCGGGTTACTTAGCCTTACAATGCCATTCTAATAATAATGTCTTGCCATGTAACCGGTTGCTGTAAAATTTGACTTAATACTGTACTGTGATATTTTATAATTGAGCCTTTCCTCTAGTCTAGGCCTAGCTCTAAGCTAGGCTAGGCCCTAGGCCCTCCTAAGGCTAAGCCTAGCCCTAGAACTGGCCATGGCCTACTAGGCCTAGCCTACCTAGGCATATGCCCTTACGGACGGCTTACACAGTAAGTCTCGTTTACTACTAGCAAGGCCTAGGCCTACTGAGACTGAGTGTGCCCGCTTTGTGGTAACTTACTAGGCTAGGCTAGCAACATTGGCAACACATACAGACGTTTGGACACTGCTAATTAACCAAGTAGAAGTAAAGTAGAAGAAGTAGCCTAGGCCTAGTTAGTAAGCCTATACTATACTGACAGTGTAACACTAGGCCTAGACTAGAGCAATTGTTGCTGTTGGCTAAGGGCCTATGTAGGAATAGGCCTAGCCTAGGCCTATATGGTAATTTGAATAGGTGACTCATCTGCCTCCATATTGCCAGTGACAGCAGACTGTACAAACAATTTTGGACTAGGCCTGGGGTAAAGTCGCTAATTTTCAACCTACACGGTTAAAACAAGGTAATTTTCGGACAATAGAAACAGAAATCTAATTTTAACAGTATACAGTAATGTAACTCATACCTTCCAACTACAAATTCATAAAATTAGATTGCCAGCCTGTAAAATGTAATTATCCTGGCCTTTCGGAAATTTTATGCTAGTTTTCGACACCCCTTTGGAGGCCTTTCGCCCGGTTTTTTCGACAATCAGTTCTATTTTTGAATTTTTATACTTGGTGGAAAATGAAATACTGATTTAGAACACCTAACAATAATAATAGAAATGTTAAATAATAGTTTAATTTGAAACTATTTCACAGTAAACTCCATTTACTATAATTAAAGTGTAAAAATTAGACCAGTTTGTCATGTCTTAAAAAAGTAGCGAAAAATTGCTACCTGCACCACCTTGGTTTTAGGATGCCCTCAATTTATTTCATAGTAATTAACATAGGATGTCGAACCTACAGTATAACCCCAACCTTGGCCCTGTAACCTATTCCTCTATATTTTCTTATTTCCTACTGTAGCCACATGTGTCCATCTCAACAGTTTCAGTATTAAATTTTCTTTCGAATAAATTTATAACTTGGGATAGATTTTTCCATGCTAAGTTAATTAATTTTAGATGTGATATGACACCATAATTTTAATCTCCCTTAACAATACTGTATGTATTCATAATTTGATAAAAAAAAAAAGTTTTGTTCGAGGGTCATTGTAAAGTATTTCTTATGAGTGGGGGATGTCAAAAACTAGGCCTAAATCAATTTTATGCGGAAACTCGTTTAAAATGCACAGAATTGTAACTTACTTTGTAATACATTTTTATTTTAGACATGGTCAAAGTCTATTTTCTGCAAAATTACGTGGAAGTCCTGTAGGCCTACTGTATACATTAGGTGCAAATCATAATTTACAGCCTGAAAAATGCTGTATAATAACTCAATGGTGGTTATATTTGTAAAACCTACAGGTATGCTAAAAATGCCTCTGGGCACATGGGTGATTCCTCCAACTTTTTTCCAGGCCTGGAAAAAAAAGTTTATGCGCCTTTGATCCGACCAAGGAAAGGAAATCTTTATAAAAATGGCTAATGTTTTTTTGCATTTGTATTATTTTGTTTTCTTATCCCAGTGGGGTATTGCTAAACCCCGCAAACCCCACGTACCCCGCAAACCTAAAAAAAAAACACTGCATCCAAACCCTGTGATAATGATTGAATCACATAGTATAAGACTCAATTTGGTATCTCAATAAAAAAAAATCTTATTTTATGTTTGTCACAACCTATTTTTGGGGTAAAAAGGCCATTTTTTGTATAAAAAAATTGCTAAACCCTGCAAACCCCAAAAAACACAGTGCAAACCCTGTGATAGTGTTGAATCATGTAGTATAGGACTCACTTGGTATCTCAGTAAAAAAAATTATACTGTTCCATTGGTAACAACCTACTTTTTGGGTAAAAATGCCATTTTTTGTATAAAAACATTGCTAAACCCCGCAAAACTCCGAAAAAAAAAACAGTGCAAACCCCATCCAAGCCCTGTGAAAATGATTGAATCACATACAGTAGTATAGGACTCAATTTTGTATCTCAATAAAAAAAAATCGTAATTTTATGTACTGTAATTTTAGGTTCACAAAACAACCTATTTTGGGGTAAAATTTGAATTTTTTGTTAAAAATACCTAAAAAAACTTTTAAAAAATGGCCTTTTTACCCCAAAAATAGATTGTGACAAACATAAAATTATGATTTTTTTTTTACTGAGATACCAAGCGAGTCCTATACTGCATGATGATTCAATCACCATCACAAGGTTTGGATGGGGTTTGCGGAGTTTTTTTTTAGGTTTGCAGGGTTTAGCAATACCCATTTCAGTGTCATAGCATTGATATGCACTGAAATTTTAAAAATTTAGTATCAAAAGCCTGTCCTCCCATTGAATTCGCTCCTGATTTGGGACCTTCAAACAAGTCAGTAGGCCAAAAATTAAAGTGGACACTTCCTTGCCAGTGGTGAGACCTAGGAATTCATGTTTATACTAAAATCTGATAAAATAATCATCAGCAATCCAATTTGGATTAATTTCTGTCCTTCAGTACAATACCTCGACTCCAGTGGTTTAATATTTCATCAATTTTTTTTTTTTTTTTTTATAAAGAACATCAAAATTTGACATGGTATCAATTTAATTGCATCAAATTAACAGAAAATGACAACAATAATGTAGAGTATTATATTTTTTTTTTAAGAACCAGTAAAATTTTGCCCAGGCTATTAGTATTCTTATTTTTTTGCTGTTTTCAGTCTCAGAATGTTCTAATTTTGTTTATATTTCACACTCTTTTTAAACATAGAAAATTAGTATTGTATAGTACTGTACATCTACTGTATTCAATATAGAGGGGATTGCATAGTTACACCCACTGCGCATAAGCTATGTACAGTATAGATAAAGATTTGTTATTTTTTTTTAATTTTTCAAATAAAAACCTCATTTGACATTTTCTCTCAGCCTTATAATTTTTTCTTAAAATTGTTCTTGATTTTTAAACAAGTTTAGCCTCAGTGTGAATAAAATGTATTCTTGAAAAAAAAGGTTCTTATAAAATGTAGGCCTATTCTTATTTGTTTTTAAATTGTAAGGCCTAGAGTTAAATATTTAAGAAGAGGGAACAAACTTCAGCAACCATTCACAATTTACAGCAAACATTCACAAAAACTTGCAAATTTATCATTTGAAAATTGAAATTACAAAAAAAAAAAAAAAAATTATAAAATATAAAATCCTATATTATAAATTAATGGAAAATGGTAAATTCCCTTTGACAGAAAAAATTGAAAAGGTCCAATCTCACCAAAACTGAAGAAAACCTGTATTCTCTTGAAAATTCATAGAATTAGAATTTGTGATGCAATAGCTATAGTAGGCTAAATTTTTTTGAAACTGATTGTTTGGACAAACACGCAAAGAGAATTTAGTGGTCATTGAACACAATAAGTTCAAATTTTGGAGGTGAATACTTGAAAATCAATTTTAAGACTACAAAGAAAAAATACTGTAACGTTAGACAATAATAATCGTAGGCAATGAGAATTATAAGAGATTAGCCAATATCTGAGCAATAGGTCGCTATTTGATGAGATTAACATCCATTCATTGTCAGCATTCTCAATGAAATTTTAAATTTTGTATCACTGTTCTCGTTACAGCTATGATCATTGCGTACAAACATTCAGACAATAACATGCACACTTAAATGAGTTTAGATATTAGAATATATTCAGATAATGAGTTGTGCTTGCACAATTGATATTCAGTTGATATGAGAAATGCATGCAAGTCAGCGTACAATATCGCGGACATGTCAGACAACCTCATTAAATGGTAACAAATCCATTCTTGCCTTAATGTGCATCAAAACAACATGACCGTTTCCTCTTGCACTTTGTCTGAATTTTTTTTTTTTTATTAGAAGGGATCTATTTTTTAAATTGCTTCTCAGTGGCACATTTGACAATATCATTAATTGTATAATTATCACAATTCGCAAATATATACATGTCAGGGGAGATATTCATTATTTCTATCATAATGCCTTTGAACTATGAATGTTCCTTAATTTTATGACAGTAGATATTTAAAATCAAAATTTTTATTATTAATCTTTCTGATTAATTTTTTTTTTCAAATATAATAGTGAATAAAAATTGACCAAGAAACCGGATGAATTCATTTAATTTGGTAGAAAGGACATTTTTTAATGATTTGATACAATGTACTAACTACATCCTAGTAACTGCAGGGACTAATTCACTCATTCGTGATGATTGTCGGGGGCGTTCGCATTCTACTGTAAATCAATTTGGATTTTTACAGCGTTTACGCAGAAAATGTCATACAGTAAATGAAAGACTGGCAAGTGTTTCAGTAGTCCTCTTATGGCTAGAAAATGGAATCGGTTGAACACTGTTCCAGATTTGAGGAGCAAACGTAAATGCACAATTTTGAAACTTGTGGTTAACTAAAACACAACATTACTTTCTACGTACTACAGTACAATATAGGCCGTCACAAGTTGAAAGCTGTCTGGATATTTTTCTTTGAGTATTTGGAAAACCCCAGATTTAATAGTAGTCAGATTTTAGTCAAGACTATTACATAAAAAAGTCTGAATAATCCACGTTATTCAGGTGTTCA